TACAAATTAAACTAGCATGGCCAACTTTCCGTATCGAGAAATTCCTTCTTAGAAGATTTCAAAAAGCGGATGACATTGTCTTTAGCAAACATCGTGGAGTTTTTTAATCTTACAAATACTCATATATAACGTTAATGTTTTCATTATTATTTTCTCTAATAAATACATCAGTTTATACACGAAGGGTTGAAAATTAATTAGTTTAAAAGGTTAACATTATATATGAGTATTTGTAAGATTAAAAAACTCCACGATGTTTGCTAAAGACAATGTCATCCGCTTTTTGAAATCTTCTAAGACATATCCTTTACTGATATATTGAATACTTGTGAACTATAAATTGAAATCCTGGTGTGGATTGGGATCAATATAGGCGTTGGCGGTACTGGATCTGAGGCAATCGGCCAAAAATGACTGACTCATTGTGGTGCCCAACTGTTCGGGACATTCACATCGATGGTTGGTATACCAAACTCATTGAGCGCTTTATTATGAAGCGATAGGATTGGGCGCGGACTGGGGTCCGATGAGATGTCGATGGGGCCGTTGGTTCCGTGATAGCCAGGGTTATCACCGACCAGTTTGTAGTCGCTATTGTTTTCACATTTTATAAAATACGGTAGGATTTCCTCGTAGGACCAGCCCTTTGCCCCGTACTCGTCGGTCCAGTTGTCATAATCCCTTTTGTTGCCTCTATTATACAGCATACCATTGATGGTGGACGAGCCCCCTGTGGCTTTGCCCAGATTGGCATCCATGGCCACTCCCGTGAAGTGGATCTGAGGAACGCTACGATACGCTGAGAGCCGGTATGTCAGTCGTGACGATTGATGGCCTCCTGCTGTCATTAGTAAGACATAAATTGATATAGTGATCATATAGTGGTAACACAATCAGGCTTCCCGAAATACATGGTTTCGGTGGTAGTGTTGTTCCCTCCACGAGTGATAAGTGTTTTTGAGTCTCCGCACACTACACTTATGGGGCTTGGATATGTTGTAGAGTACGTGTCCCTGATAATATACATCTAAAAATTATTTGCTAAATCTGGTTATTTGGTGCATTTCTCGCCTCAAAAAGGGTACTAAAAGGTTATAAATTGATCACAAATATACCGTACATTCAATAAATGAATGAAAAGCGTATGAAAAAGTGATTAATCTTTTTGTGAATCATTTTTATTCACAAAATTTTTTTTGAAGTTTTTAATATAAAGATTAAAATTATTTTATTTTACATTTAATATAAAATTTTGTAATTATTTAAGTTATTAATATACAGTATATAGTATTAATTATATATTTATTGGTAATATACTATTAATTCAAATTAATAGAAAAATGAGACCAAAAATTATATTTGTATTAAAAATTCATATGAAATACGAAATAAATACAAAGTTTTTGACTTTTATTGCAAACAAGGTTTGAAAGGTCGGTGCCGTGCGAGTCATGCAAAAAAGGCGTGAATAGGTGAGCCAACAGTGCCGTTACTACTGCGGCCATGGGGGCAATACCTCGATATATGCTAACATCATTTGTTAGCGGTTGTGCTCTAAATGATTACATTACTTTTGATATAAGCCGGCACTACATTGGACACAACACTCGGGTATTTGTCGGTGTTGTACGCCCTGAGCGCTACGTAATACACGCCTCCGGTGTCCGCATTGAACCGGATCTGACATCTCTGCTCTTTGCCGTAACCGTCAGCCATAGTATCGATGGTTACGCTAATGTCGGCGCCGACCAAGTCGTCAAACTTGGTTCGGATCTCTTGCAACAGTTTCTCGTCCTCCTCGTGGCTATCATTTTGATGGAAGGCTTTGATCACATACTTGTCGGTATATCCCGACGTATAGTCCCCTCCCGGCGC